AGAAGTTCAAAAAGTCTTAAAGGCGATATTTTTCCAAAGGGGTTAGTCCATAGTTTCGGTCCAAAATTAGTCATTTTTCCATTTTTTTATTTTAGGCAATATAGGCCAGGAAAATGTGTTATACGCTATTGTAGAACGAAAAAACGTCTTTTTGGGCTATAAAATCGAGAATTTTAAAAGGTGGAAATTTTGAGATTTTTGCAAAGGGGTTAGTCCATGGTTTTGGTCCAAAATTGGCCATTTTTCCATCTTTTTATTTTAGGCAATATAGCCCAGGAAAATGTATTTTACGATATTCTAGAACGAAAAAACGCCTGTCTAGGCTATAAAAACAAGAAGTTCAAAAAGTCGAAAAATAAAGATGTTTACAAACAGGCTAGTCCATTTTTCACCTAAACCATGCACTCTACCCTTTGAAAAAATCTCATTCTTTCGATTTTTTAAACTTAAGTTTTTGCAAACTAAGGGGTTGGTCTGTGGTTCTGGTCCAAAATTGGCCATTTTTCCAACGTTTTATTTTAGGCAATATAGCTCAGGAAATTTTGTTTTACGATATTTTAGAACGAAAAAAAAAAATCCTTTCTAGGCTATAAAAACGAAAAGTTCAAAAAGTCGAAAAACAAAGATGTTTACAAACAGGCTAGTCCATTTTTCACCTAAACCATGCACTCTGCCCTTTGAAAAAATCTCATTCTTTCCATTTTTTAAACTTAATGGTTCATGCCTTAGAAAAAACCTTTTTTCCTCCAGAATATTGTAAAAAACATTTTCCTGCCTTATATAAGTGAAATTAGAACACGGAAAATTTCCCAATTTTTTACCAAAACCATGCGGGATTAACCCCGTTGTTAAAATCTTAATTTTTCGACTTTTTACACTTCTTGTTTCTATGTACTAGAGAGGCGTTTTCTCTTTCTAAAATACCGTAAAACACATTTTACTGGCCTATATTGCCTTGAATAAAAAGATGAATAAATGGCCAAGTTTGGCTCCAAACCAAGGAGTCGACCAACATCTATGGAAAAATCTCAATCTTTCGACTTTATAAACTTTTTGATTTTATAGACTACAAAGGCGATTTTTCGTTCTAGAATATCTTAAAACACAGTTTCCTGGCCTATATTGCCTAAAAAGAAAAGATGGAAAAAGTGGCTAATTTTGTACCAAAGCCATGGACTAACCCCTTTTCAAAAATCTCAACTTTTCGACTTTTCAACTACTTCTTTTTATAGCCTAAAAAGACGGTTTTTTTGCTATAATATCGTTAAACACATTTTTCTAGTCTATATTCTCTAAAACAAAAATGGAAAAATGGCGAATTTTGGACTAAAACCATGGACTAACCCCTTACCAAAAATCTCAATTTTTCGTGTTTTTAAATTTCTTGTTTTTATAGCCTAGAAAAGCGTTTTTTTTTCACATTTTTCTGGGCTATATTATCTAAGATAAAAAAATAAGGAAAAAATTGTCAATTTTTGACCAAAACCATGGACTAACCACTTTAGAAAAATCCGAATTTTTCGACTTTCTGAACTTCTTGTTTTTATAGCCTAATAAGGCGTTTTTTTGTTCTAGAATATCGTAAAACTAATTTTCCTGGCCTAAAAAAAGATTGGAAAATTGGTTAATTGTGGATCAAAACCATGAACTAATCCCTTTGCAAAAACATCAATTTTTTGTCTTTTTAAACTTCTTGCTTTTATAGCCTAAAAAGGCGTTTTCCCGTTCTAGAATATCCTAAAAAACATTTTCCTGGCCTAAATTGCCTAAAAAAAAAGATGAAAAAAATGGCCAATTTTGGACCAAAATCATGGACAAACCCGTTGGAAAAATGTCTATTTGTTCACTTTCTGAACTTCTTGTATTTATAGCCCAGAAAGGCGTTTTTTCGTTTTAGGATATCCTAAAACACATTTTCCTGGCCGTTATTGCCTAAAATAAAAAGATGGACAAAATGGCCAATTTTGGACCAAAACCATGGACTAACAGGTTTTGAAAACTCGCAATTTTTCCACTTTTTGAACTTCTTGTTTTCGTAGCCTAGAAAGGCGTTTTTCGCTCTAGAACATCGTAAAACACATTTTTTGGCCTATATTACCTAAAATAAAGAGATGGAAAAAATGGCCAATTTTGGACGGAAAAATGGCCAATTTTGGACCCAAACCATGGACTCACCCCTTTAGACCAACCTCAATTTTTCGACTTTTTGAACTTTCTTGATATGATATTCTAGAGAGGCGTTTGTCCGTTCTAGAATGTCTAAAAAAACCTTTTTTCGGCTATATTGCCTAAAATCAATAGATGGAAAAGACGGCCACTTTTGGACCAAAACCATGGACTAAACCCTTTTGAAAAATCTCAATTTTTGGTCTTTCGGCTTCTTGATTTTTTAGCCTAGAATGACGTTTTCCCGTTCTAGAATATATTGCCTGAAATAAAAAGATGGAAGAAATGGCCAATTTTGGACCAAAGCCATGGACTAACCCCTTTGGAAAAATCTAAATTTTTCCATTTTTTGAACTTCTTCTTTTTATAGCCTAGAGAGGCGTTTTTCGGTCTAGAATATCGCAAAACACATTTTCCTGGCCTATATTGACTAGAATAAAAAAAATATATAGAAAAAACCAATTATGGACCAAAACCACGGAATAACCTCTTTGGAAAATCTCAATTTTTTGACTTTTTGAACTTCCTATTTTTATAGCCTAAAAAGGCGTTTTCCGTTCTAGAATATCGTAAAAAACATTTGTTTGGTCTATATTGCCTAAAATCAAAAGATGGAAAAAATGGTCAATTTTCGACCAAAACCATTGTCTAACCCCTTTGGAAAAATCTCATTTTTTCGAATTTTTGAACTTCTTGATTTTTTTAGCCTAGAAAGGTGTTTTTTCGTTCTAGAATATCGTAAAACACATTTTCCTGGCCTATATTGCCTAAAATAAAAAGATGCGAAAAAGGCCAATTTTGGACCAAAACCATGGACTAACCCCCTTTGAAAAATCTCAATTTTTCGACTTTTTTAACTTCTCGTAGCCTAGAAAGACGTTTTTTGGTTTTTAGAATATCGAGTAACACAATGGACCAATGGTTCTCTTGAAGTTCAAGTCTGTTGACACAAAATATTTTCCGCCCTCTTTATCGGCTTAGGTCAGTGTGGTAGTGTAGTGGGAAGGCCGAGAGAGATTAGGATACGAAAGGTATGGATTCGAGGTCCGGATTTTTCCTTGAGTTTTGGTGGCGGCTTCTGGCGTTCCCTTTACAAAAACAACATTAAAGAAACAAGCACGCAAGTTTTCAACAAGGTCCATCATACTTTATTGTTAAGAAATACATTAACTAAAATGCGAGCAAAAATACAATTACGCCATAGCCGGACACGTAAACCACAAAAACCAATTCAATTTGAAAGAAATAGGGAAAGTGTACCCCCAAGTGCTATGGTGACGCCTTTGGGGTTTTAAGGTCTACTGTATATAAACGCAGCAAAAAAAAATAGAGCTAAGGTAAATAAATTAATATTTTGACTTGGCTGAAAGTAGAAAGAAAACGAAAAGAAAAAGTTAATCTCTGAGTGGATAGTCGGCGAGGTTGTGCTCTAAAATAGCGCAATTTGAATATCTGTCGCTGTTTTAAAGTGCTCCAGCAATGATATTTATTAAAGCGCTTTCGCTCGCAATATAGATATTAAATTATTGTTTATTGGATCAATGTAAAGTGTGAAAGCTATGATTCCCTGCCTTTCACTTAGCAGACAGACGTTATAAAGTTGTGGTTTTTTTTGCAGACAAATTAAGACCAGGCAAACAATTTTGCTCGGAACCTCTGAAAATCTTCATGCATTAGGTTATTGCAGTTTATATTACTGTTAAGCCATAAAATCATCAGCGTTTGTGGCATTAATTAAGAAGGATTCAGAAGTTCCAAGTTACGCTCTAATTTTCATGGCCGAATTGATAAATTCAGCATTACACGAGCTGCACGCAAAAACTTGCATTTGTAAAATCGGGCTTTCTCCTTTACATAATCGCTCCCACATTTGCTATTTATTTCAAGCTCATTTATCACGAAACTGATAATGAAAACAACAAAAAACGGCCTCTTTTTATGGTCTTTGGTCAACTCTTTCATTCTAAACAGCGTCTTACAAGGGCGGATATAGGGGGAGGGTGCACGGGTAGCCCACCCCCTCCTGAGATGACCTACGGCTTTCTAATACAGTCCTATACAAATCTGCTGTATCGTTTGATATGCATTTTCAGCAGATCACATTATGTTATTGCCTAGTCAAAATCCTTCTTCGTATTCTTCGTATTTTGTTTACGTCACCAGTCAGTTACTCCATTGTTTAGTGGTGCACCCCCTTCCTAACAAAAATCCTGGATCCGCCCTTGTCTTAAGAACTACACTTCATAAATATCTATTTACTCTCTTTACTTTGTAAAATCCTTAATGTTGAAATAGGTGTTGCTAAAACGTGAATAAAAATTCTATTTGTTTGGTGACCGCTTAGGATCTGCTCCTTAAACTTTAAGGTAAGAACTATAATTTCTTTTTTCTTAAGGCTTTGAAAGAGCTCGATCATTTGGTATAAACCGCGTTAAACCTGCGTTATCGATTTCTTAAAGACATGAGCCTTTTCAGGCTAATCTAAATTTCGAGTTTAAACAAAGTTCATATATGTATGTACGTATGATTCATCGGCCGAGAAAAAATTACCACTTCTTCAGTACATAGACCCAAGTTCAAACTCACTGCGGTTTAGAAATAGCCAGTTTACTAAGTTAAATATAGCATAAAAGCCTAGGAGATGAGAAAATTGTCGAAGTGAAATCTTATAGAAGTGGAATCCAATTTTTTAATGATGTTTGCTGGCGAAAAGCCTGCGAAAGCAAAGCGCGAGCTTGGCGAAAAGCAGTCTGTTTAAACGTGGGTCTTACATAAACATTATTGTTGGATTCTCATGCTGTAGTGACGTAGGGTAGTAGCAAGGGCAGCGTACATCAACACTCATCCTCCAATATGATGTATGAATACATCCACGCTGGAAGCTGTTGGGACGAAAACAGAAGATACGTCAATAGCTTGATTTTTAAAGAAAAATCTTTTTTTTGCTATTGCTGCAGAGTATTTTTGTCGCGTATTTCAGAACATAGAGCCTTAATTTTATCTTAGAGGCAAGTGCGATCAATGGCAAAATAATCCATTTGATGGAATTTTGAATCGCAAGGTTTCGTTTTTTGTCCTTCTTTTGCAGTCCACAGCTTTAATAAGTAAAGCAGGGACAGCTGACGACTGAGTCAAATGAAAACCTCTAGTTTAACGTGGGACACATTATATTATCAAATCGTAGCTTTCCCTCACTCCTCCCGCTGCAGTTTTTCAGACCTTTGCGTTTACCCTATAGAAGCTGAACCTTTCCCACCCGCCTCTCTTGACCCTCTTAGTAATGGAACGGTCGCGGGAGACAGAATATTACAACATGCATGGGAGCGATGTTCCACGCGCCTCCATCGTTGATATTTGAGTGAGAGAAGAGAGACGACTGGAGAGCAGTCAGGCATTGAAGAAGAACAAAGATTACTGTTCTGATACTCACCAATTTTAACGTCGCCATAGCCAATTAATGACCTTCGGAGTTTCTTCACCAGAGAACAAATTTTTTAAGGACGTCATCATCATCATCATCATCATCATCATCATTTTCCGCATTATTGTCACTATCATCATCGTCGTGATCATCATTATTATAATCATCGTCATCATTGTCAGAATGATCGTTGTCATTATCATCATCATCGTCAGCGACGTCATTTTCATTATTAGCATCATCATCATGATCATCATCGTCAGCATGGTCGTCATCATCATCATCGTCGTCGTCATCGTCAGCATCATCACTAGCATTATCGTGAACATCATCATCATCATTGTCAACATCATCGTCGTCATTATCATCTTCATTATCATTATCATCATGATTATCACCCATGCAACAGGTGTCAGTCGTCTACGTCTAGCCTCTTCACATCACAGCGCCTCATTAGGCTGCCCAGCATGTCAACGTTCACTGTTCCTATATCTCTCAAGAAATAAAATCAAGACCACAGTTTTAAATGAGCTTCGTATCAAAGTTAAGTTTTCCCTCACTTGTTCCTTAATTGCGTCAAAGCATGTAAGGCAAAAGACAAAAGAGACTTGGAGTTTCCAGATAATTCGGATAGTAAGGCCGTCCCTCTATACATTTTCAAACTAAAAAAAAGTATTAAATAAATCCATAGGGATAAAACTGTTAAAAATAATGACTTTTGCACAAAAGAATAAAGACGAAGAAGGTAAAAACATCTGAAAAAGGAACAAAAAGGAACTTAAAAATGATAATAATTGTGATAATAATAATGTTTATAACGACAGTAATAGAAAAGGAAAAGCTTTAAAATTGGCAACTAAGGAGACTTTAAAAATAAAAAATACTTCTTGCCTGATTTTTGAAACGTTACTGCCTTAAAGTCCTTGCAGTTTCCTTTTCAAAAATCAATTAAGTCTCTTTTGTTGCAATTATTTCCTTTTATTATTGTCATTATCGTAATCATTACAGTAACTATTGTTTTTTTAATTCTCATATTATTTGACTTTATTTTCAAATTATTTTTATCGTAGCTTATTAAGTATTATTATTTTACTACTTTTATATTACTACTTTTATATTTATTTTTTCCCTTTTATTTATTTATTTCCTATTTTAAGTTCCTTTTTGTTCCATTTTTCTTCATTTTTTTCGTTTTCTGCTGTTTTTCTTTACTTTTGTGCGTCAAATGAGTCCATCATATGTTTCATTTGCATGTTATTATATTCAGTTTTATCCCTACTGGCCTTTTAAAAATCCTCCGAGAAGAACGCCAAGACCATCCAAACTATCGGCAAAACTCAAGTCGTTTTTCCCTTTGCTGTTGTATTGTTATACATGTAGGTCTTGAGCTACATGGGCAATTTTATACTCTATTTCTCTCCACCCTCCGATACTTAACTCATTAAACGAGTTATCCTTCCCCAAGCCTCATGAGGGTCTACGATACACACATTTCTAGTCATATTTCAATGCACGTTTCACCTGCTGAAGAAGGTTAGATACATCATTCATCACCACGGCCGTCCTCGTTAGCAACTGGCAGCACTTACTATAAATCACCATCGACATCATCATCCCAATCAACAAGATAATTAATCATCAAAATCAATGCATAAGGTGTCAGTCATTTGTCCAGTCCTCTACTCATGACGTTGACTCACAAGATAGTTCGTAAATTTTTCTAGAAAAAGGAAACAAAACTACAAAAAAAAAAAAAAAAAGTAAACGTTTTAACAAAAAAAAGGGGGGGCAAACCCCTTTTTCTCCTAGATTTTGAGATAGTAAGCGGCCGTGGGGGGATATATGTCAAAAGAAAAACACAAAAAATATACACGACCAGAGTTGACACTCGTTAGCAATTGGCAGCACTTACTATAAACCCCCATCAACACCATCACCCCAATCAACAAGAAAATTAATAATCAAAATCAATGCATAAGGTGTCAGTCATTTGCCCAGTCCTCTACTCATGACGTTGCCTCAAAAGATAGTTCGTAAATTTTTCTAGAAAAAGGAAAAAAAACTAAAAAAAAAAAAAAAAACAGTGAACGTTTTAACAGAATAAAGGTGGAGCTATCCCCTTTTTCTCCTAGATTTTTGCACTATCAACGCACGCTTAGTTCAATTAATTCCAAGGAAAACGCTAAGAATTTTCTGCGCACAGTTTCGATCCAGCAGGCCAATTTCTTTTCAGCCAATGTTTTACAAATTATTTGTTGAAAGATGAGTATTAGATATTTTTCTATTCTTGTACGTACCTCTACCGAGTTAAGCGGGCTCCCTTATGTCCCTGATATCAATCCTTTTTATCCGTATATGTTCGTTCCTCGTTGTAGTGTAGATCTGCTCAGTATCCTAACCGCTTTAGACATGACTTCTTGGATTTATTTCTTTCCATCATTAAAGCACGACTTTGATCTTTGTACAGATCAAAAGGATGATCATTGGAATTTAAATTCATGGCTTGAAATACTGATCTGATTCGTACGTTCCAGAATATTTTGGGTGAACATTTTTAACCTTTCTGGTTCTTACCTTAGATCTTGTACATAGGGTCACGTGTTCCGCTACGTCACTAGGCTGGTTAATACGTGGCTTTAGTGACTGTGGGTTGGCGTTACACAGACCTAAATGAAAAGCTTCCAAAAAACAGATTATCAAAGCAAACGTTGCACCATGACAACTGAACAAGAAACTTCAAACTCTACAGCTTCCTCCAAACGCCCTCGCCCTGGGGACGAGGTTGAGACATCCTGGCGTTTGAATTTCAGTTATATTTCATATCGATTTGTTTACTAACGAAGCAATGTTCACGGGTTGGAATCCCAGTGGAACATGCATTTACCTATAAAGTTATGACTTTTGACTTTTATGACTCTTTCCAATTCCTTAAACGAAACCAAGCACTCTTTGGCTTATCCTCTGCTAGGAGAAGACTTTCCTATATTTTGATACTTACACGTTACGGATCTCTGAAGATGAGAATTCAAAACTGCCATAACACTGCTCGACGTCTCTGACCTAAATGAAATAGTTCTTGAAAACATAATCAATATTATCAAAACACTGGTTTTGTCGTGCAGTTGAAACCGGTTACAAACTCCATTTCCTTTAAAAGGCTTTGGAATTGACTGCTGACATCCAATCAATTTCTGTCAGCTATCATCAAACAGATGTTCAGTGCATTATTCGAAATCCTAAGTCTTGAAAATTGCACTCTTAGGTAGATTATGATTACCAATAACCAAACAGACTGAGATCGTGGGTTTGAATCCCACTAAATTCTGAATTAATGAATAAGTTTTAGTATCATCTGAGGATAAGTGCCTGTAACAGCAGAATCAGATTTAGTGTTCTCGTGGTCCGTTTCATTCTTCCTTACCTCTTTAGCGCTGGAAAAAGCTTACTTCACGCACTATATCTGAAACACAGAAATATGATCTAAAAGTTAAAACAACTGAAAAAAAGAAACAGTGTGTTACCTTTAGAACTTGCAGTCGTTTTTCAGTCGTACCCAGTGTTGCTATGCGTTTCTTCAGAAACGCTACCAGAAGTACATCCAAAACGAGCTTCCTGAGAGCATACGTCAAACAATCAGTTGGGCGTGTTCCGTCTTGAGAGGGCGCGCCCAAAACAGACGTCTTCGAGGCGGTGATGTTCGAGCGAAAATAACGTTTAAAAATACGGTATGACGGCCGAACTTCCTGAAATAAAACTTGTTAAATTACTTACTGTCGCTTTAACAGAAAAATACACTGATGACGCGACATTGTGTTGGTCAAACATTTATTGTTTATGGCAGAAAAGCAATTCCGTTACAACAAAAATCTTATTTAAATTATCTAGTACTGGTGTAAAGAAGAAAAAACAAACTGATGAATTTCTCTTTTGTTTTTAAACTTTATTCTTCATCAACTTTTAATTACGTACAACTCCAATACAAAATTCTAGCCTGCATTTAGCAATCCCTTCTGGCTTCCAAGATGGTGGTGCCATGCGTTTCTTCAAGAACGCATCCAAAAAAGTAGTCCATGGGTAGGAAAAAAGCTTGTGGGATCTTGGGAGGGCGCGCCCAAAAAGATGTGTTCCCATTCACTCAAGAAAAAAATGGAGGTAGAGTCCAAACAATTGAAAAATAATGATTTTCGACGTACTAGTACCTGAAAATGAAAAATTAGTTATTTGTGTGTTTGCAGTAAAACACACACTGATGTGACATAATGCCAGTCAATGCGCGTAATTGTGTAAAAGACACCACACTTACAACTCAGTGTTTTTTTATTTGTTTTATTTTCATTGGTCTTATTACAACAAGTATATTGTAAGATACCTGCAAATCAAATCATCATTAGTACTTATTACTAATTACTCTATAGTCAACGCGCCTAATTGTGTAAAAGAGACCACACTCACAAATCAGCGTTTTTGTTTGGTTTGTCTTATTTTCATAGGTCTTATTACAACAACTATCTTGTAAGATACCTGCAAATCAAATCATCATTAGTACTTATAACTAATTACTCTATAGTCAACGCGTGTTATTGTGTAAAAGACACCACACTCACAAATCAGCGTTTTGTTTGTTTGTTTTATTTTCATTGGTCTTATTACAACAAGTGTATTGTAAGATACCTACAAATCAAATCATCATTAGTACTTATAACTAATTACTCTATAGTCAACGCGTGTGATTGTGTAAAAGACACCTCACTCACAAATCAGCGTTTTGTTTGTTTGTTTTATTTTCATTGGTCTTATTACAACAAGTATATTGTAAGATACCTACAAATCAAATCATCATTAGTACTTATAACTAATTACTCTATAGTCAACGCGTGTAATTATGTGAAAGACACCACACTCACAAATCAGCGTTTTTTTTGTTTTATTTTCATTGGTCTTATTACAACAAGTATTTTGTAAGATACCTGCAAATAAGTCATTATTAGTACTTATAACTAATTACTCTATAGTCAACGCACGTAATTATGTGAAAGACACCACACTCACAAAACAGCGTTTTGTTTGTTTGGTTTATTTTCATAGGTCTTATTACAACAAGTATATTGTAATATACCTGCGGATCAAATCATCGTTAGTACTTATAACTAATTACTCTATATTCTATTATTTAAAAAATCACACAGACAACGCTTTAGGTGAAGTGTTTTTATTGAATTGAGTTCGCCGTTTACAGAAATTAAGTAGTTTATTGGGTGCGCTCCTACAAGAATTTGGCGTCCGGGTTTGCTAGACCGAGGAGTGTGACATGTGTCCATACACCTTGACACCTCGAATGAAACACACCAGGGTCCCCCGGACGGTACGCAGGGATATTTGGCGGCTTGCTATCGAAACATCGT